CACTATATTGGACTGTATTGACCGGAAATGGAGTCCATATGAACCAAATAGTGACAGACATTGCTGTTATTATAAGGACTGGTTCTGCACTCAAGCCAAACATGTATTCAGTTTATACCTAAACCCATAAAATTATCAGATATTCATTGAAACCCTAATGTTTTGCTTTAAAGTTCGCTCAGAATTGTGACAATTTGGCCGAAATTGAGCGCATCCTCGGTATGAGTGCTCGTCAGTCGGAGATCTGTAAGACTTTTGGTGTCGACTCAACCGACGCTTTCTGCGACACATTGAATGTGACTGATGTTAGGGACCGCCCGGCCTGTGACCAGTGGTTTGTCTGTCATATCAATGACACACAAAACTTAGCCAAAAGTCCTTCAAACGGTAATCCCTATCATCCTACTGATACCTCAAACGGTAATCCCTCTCATCCTACTGATACTTCAAACCCTGCAAAACCCGATGAAACTATACATAATGGTTGTTGTAATACCGGTGCTTATTGTTTATCACATATTCTTCTGGTGCTTATTATCTTTGTATTTATTCATATGTAAAAATAGAATATATTTATTATTTGTTAGTATTTTTCAATTAAATTCAATTATCTGTTACTAAATTATTGTATTATTTGTAAAGCTATTTGTATAAAAATTCTTACTAAACAATTAAGTTTGTTAATATTAATTTATTAAATTTTAAATTATTAATAAACACTTTGCTAATTACAGATAATTAAGTACTTGAGAAAAAAGTTAAATTTAAAACTTTAATAGATTTCAAAATATATTGATAATTATAGTTACTTTTATCTAAAAAATTATAGATAAAACAATTTATTATTCTAATTACCTTAAAGTATTAGTATTTTATTATTTATTAATATAAATCTCAAAATAAAATTGCATATGAAACATTTCCATATCACTTGAATAGGTATTTTCCACACTACCTGTCCAGTAATACTCTACACAACCCTCGCAATTATCAGTTTTTGAGTCATTTGTTGCACGTCTCAGACAACAGTTCAATGAAAGCTATTTCCATAAATCAAGTAATTTTATGTTTTAATGATTTATAATTCAAAATTAATACTAAATCATTGTATGTCAACATCCATGTCCACCTCATCAGCATTAGTCTCAATGAAGTCTTCCCGTAAATCTACCGGCGCTATCCTCAACCGAAGCCAATACAATGGCGGCGCCCAGCCTAAGGTGACTAAACTGGAGGCTATGGTGCGTGACTACCGGAGCCAACTCTCATACCAGCCCATAAACTACGAACAACAGGCGCTACGGGACTCCCGGCGCTCTCAGCCACGCATATGCGTTGCCGTACGTAAGCGCCCGCTAAACAAAAAGGAAAGGGACCGGAGGGATACGGAAGTGGTAACGGTGCCCTCGGGTAGGTCGGTGCTGGTGCACGAGCTTAAGCGCAAAGTAGACCAGACCCCATACCTGGACAACCATACGTTCCGATTCGACTGCGCCTTCGACGACACGGCCGACAACGAGACGGTCTACCGGTGCACCGCTCAGCCCCTCGTGTATACTCTGTTTGCCGGGGGAATGGCTACTTGTTTCGCGTACGGACAGACCGGTAGTGGAAAGACTCATACGATGGGCGGTGACTTTGAAGGGGAGGACAGCCAGTCGGCCGAGAAGGGTATCTACGCGCTGGCGGCCCGGGATGTGTTCGCTATGAACCAGTCGGCCAAATACCGGTCCCATAGTCTGCGATTGTTTGTCTCGTTTTTCGAGATATACGCCGGAAAGGTATGCATGGTATGGCTTATGAGGTGTTCATAATGTAACGCTATGGTCGGCACAGGTATACGATTTGCTAAACGGAAAGAAGAAGCTCCGGGTGCTGGAGGACGGCCGACAACAGGTTCAGGTGGTAGGCCTACGGGAACGGCCCGTCGACGGCGTGGACTCTGTGCTCAAACACATCCGAAAGGGCACTGAATTGCGGACATCGGGCTCGACGTCCATCAACAGCCATTCCTCCCGTTCCCACGCCGTCTTCCAGATAGTACTGCGCACCGAAAGTGGCGGACTGTCCGGTAAGCTATCGCTCGTCGATTTGGCCGGCAATGAGAGGGGCGCCGACACGATGGCCGCCGATCTCGTGACCCGTAAGGAGGGCGCGGAGATCAACACTAGTCTACTGGCGCTTAAGGAGTGTATCCGCGCGTTGGGCCGCAAGGGCTCACACCTGCCCTTCAGAGGCAGTACTTTGACGCAAGTATTGCGCGACTCATTCATCGGCGAGAAGTCGCGCACTTGTATGGTATGTCACATTTGTGGCCATTTTTTATACCTACCGGTGCTCTCTGTCTGTCCATAGATAGCGATGATATCGCCGGGTATGCAGTCGTGCGACAACACACTGAATACTCTGCGATACGCCGATCGCGTCAAAGAGCTCCGGGCGGACACTCCCGATGTCGTGCCGGTGGTGGACGCCAGCGATGAGGACGACGTGGAGGACAGGGATTACTGTGCGCTCAATACGGCAGATGAGGACGTGGATGAGGATGTGGATGAGGCGACTATTAATATCGCCAACACCTCTAAGGTATGATTTATTGTATTTAAAAAAATAATTATTGTTTTTACCATTTGTTTGAGTAGTTTGTGGTGAAAAGACCTGTCGTTCCCGTCATAACTGATTCACCGCAACGTCTGTTCACTATTCGTGAGACAGAGTCCGAGTCCTCCGACTCCGGCCTATTAGAGATGGAAAGCCGTGTTCTCGACGCTCATGAAAATCTGGTCAAAGTAAGTGCACTCGCATATACCCTGATTATATTCATATTAAATGGTTGTCTGGGTCTGTTTGATGGCTAAGGACTTCCCAGATTTCCGGGAAGTGAATGAACAGCTGCTGGCGTCGACCGTCGATGTCGACTACGATAAGGATATATACGCAGAACTGGTCGAAAAGGTGATCAACAAGAAAATCAATCAAATCTTGAAACTCAAGGGAAGGTTATCTGAGCTAAGAAGCAGAAGTAATAATAATTAAAGTTTATTAACCAGGATTATTTTCATTTTATATACTATAAAATTACTGATTTAGCTTTTATTGTGATTTCGAGTTTTAATTATATTATTTGAGATTTATTATTGCATTGATTTTAAGTATTTAATATTTTACTAATTGTTTTTTAAATAGTGCTTTTATTTTAATCGTTTCTAATCAATTTGTAATTTTGATAACTGAATTTTATATAAATCTAATCCAGTTCATATGGTTATTAAAATTTCTTTTAGATTTCAATCGGGATGTAAGACTCGATGTAATGAGATATCTGTTAAAACCTTATCGGTAACTATGTTTAAATCTCATTGTGATTTCAAATGAATTTAAAAACTATATAAACACATTAAAATAATTGTAACCGGTATTGTAACTAATGATTAGTTAATAAAACGTTTTGAGTGCGGTTTGTACTGTAATTTCATTTAGCACTGGATTTAAATATTTAAGTGTTTAGTCAGTTACTTATCATAATCTTTAAATACACATGACTTGCAAATAGGAATTCATTTCTAGAAAATAGTATACGAAATTGAGAGCTGGGTGACTGTTTGCATTGTAAATGAATGCAACAAAGTTTACCTTGAACCATAAAATAATAAAATATTTGAGTCAAACAATACGGCATTAAGTTATTGACTGGTATTTCGCACAATAACTACTCATTAAACTGACTACACGTGTGTTTGAGTCTAAACATATGGTTTAGTTAATTGTGTTTTACTGTAATCATAATTAGTTTATACTAAAAAAAAGTTTATAAACTAATAAACACATAAAAATGAGCAAAATTTTCATTGACTTATCGCTTCTCAGTCGCCAAGAGTTGCGTTCATTAGCGGCGAAAGTGATGCGAGAAAATAGTCGCTTGAAAACGGATTTAATTAAATACAAATTGTTAGCAAGCAAATGTATGACACATTTGGGTTACTTCCGAAATGTGAAGCAAATTTCGGTGGAAATGGACAACGAGTTGACACAACAAGTCGACGCCTTAAATGCTACCAAAAACTGCTTCATTCGCATGACTGACATACAAATGAATGCCATTTCTAAGCCTAAAGCTAACTGTAATCATAATTTTTGACACAATTTTTTTGCATTAAATTTATAAAATACTGATTGATTTGATGGTGAAATAGGCTTAGGATTCAGGAGCGGAAGCGATGGATACGATAAGAGTGTCACTAATGAAGTGCGAAAATCAGCCAAAAAACAAGTCTTTCAAAGTTTATCAAAGTGTAAGTCAATTGTAATTTAAGTTTATTTTTGACAAACATTTTATGAAATTAATTAAAATCTCTTAAATAGCTATAAATAAGCGCAAAGTCAGTGGAAAGGGTGGACACAAATCCAGAGCTGAAGAAGTGGTTAATTCTTACGATTCTCTAGACATCGAAAGCGACACTACATGTGAATCAAGTGATGAATGTTTTATGGAAACTGAAGACATTATTGAGAGCCAGAAGTCGAAGAATTTGAGTGCAACTAATGGACACAAAAGTGCTTCAAATGACAATCAAAGAGATTGTGATTTAGAGATAATTGCAGACAAGAGTTATCGACAAAATACAAGAAAACGAAAAAATAAACCCATAGGAAGTGTTGGCATAAATATACCGGAGGAATATGATAGCGGTTTGTATGGCATGGGAAAGGGTGATAATTTGGACACCGATTGTGGCCAAAGTCTTAAGAAAAGGAGACAACAATATGTATGCGATTACAACGAGTGTCGCCAATCTTATGACACATGCCATCAGCTGACAGATCACCAAATGTCTCATACGAGCGACAGATACTTCTGCGACTACGAGGGCTGTAACAGACATTTCGCACTTTTGGGAGGACTGTCCGTCCACAAGAAGTGTGGTAAACACGTGTTGGGACAGCCGTTTTTATGCGGTATCAATGAGTGCCTGTTTGAGACCCTATCTAAAGACTTCTTAGAGGACCACATCTTATGCAACCACTCAAGTGATGATCGCATGAATGACACGACAACTGAAGAGTTGTATGAATCCAACGATAGTCGAGGACTGGGTTCACAGACCTATCGATCGCTAAGTAATGAGTCTTTTAATTATAATGAATTAATTGATGACACTATGAGTGGTATTGTTGATGGTATAGCCATCGAGTGCCTCAGTCGGTAGACAACCGGCTGAAGACCTCAGTGGACAGACTGTTCACAAGTCTTCAGCCCATAAAACACACACAAAAAACTCTTCAATTATCTTATTCATGGGAACCGTTACTTTCGTCTCATATCAGTGAATGCCATAAATAATACAAAAACTTTTACCACACCATCACCAATTAGTACATCTAATATCTGCCAGACTTACCGCGGATGAGACAAACATTTTTTAGTGCACGTCGTGTATGAACGGACCATAGCGTGAGAGTCACGTGGGTTTGGCGTCTGATAAATGAG